AACAACTTAGCATTTACCTGGGATACTATAGCAATGACCTAGCAGCACCTTAACAACCACCTGGGATACCATAGTAACAGCCCAGCAACAATTTTACACCAAATACAAACTAAACGGCAAAGAGTGTAAAAACACAGTCGGAGCACAGCGTCTATAAACACAGGCGGAGCACAGCGTCTATAAACACAGTCGGAGCACAGCGTGTATAAAGACAGTCGGAGCACAGCGTGTATAAAGACAGGCGGAGCACAGCGTGTATAAACACAGGCGGAGCACAGAGTGTATAAAGACAGGCGGAGCACAGCGTGTATAAAGACAGTCGGAGCACAGCGTGTATAAACACAGGCGGAGCACAGCGTGTATAAAGACAGGCGGAGCACAGCGTGTATAAACACAGTCGGAGCACAGAGTGTATAAACACAGTCGGAGCACAGCGTGTATAAACACAGTCGGAGCACAGCGTGTATAAAGACAGTCGGAGCACAGCGTGTATAAAGACAGTCGGAGCACAGCGTGTATAAAGACAGTCGGAGCACAGAGTGTATAAACACAGGCGGAGCACAGAGTGTATAAACACAGTCGGAGCACAGCGTGTATAAAGACAGTCGGAGCACAGCGTGTATAAAGACAGTCGGAGCACAGCGTGTATAAAGACAGTCGGAGCACAGCGTCTATAAAGACAGTCGGAGCACAGAGTGTATAAACACAGTCGGAGCACAGCGTGTATAAAGACAGGCGGAGCACAGCGTGTATAAAGACAGTCGGAGCACAGAGTGTATAAAGACAGTCGGAGCACAGCGTGTATAAAGACAGGCGGAGCACAGCGTGTATAAAGACAGGCGGAGCACAGCGTGTATAAAGACAGGCGGAGCACAGCGTGTATAAACACAGTCGGAGCACAGAGTGTATAGACACAGTCGGAGCACAGCGTGTGAAAACAGTCGGAGCACAGAGTGTATAAACACAGTCGGAGCACAGCGTGTATAAACACAGTCGGAGCACAGCGTGTATAAAGACAGGCGGAGCACAGCGTGTATAAACACAGGCGGAGCACAGCGTGTATAAACACAGGCGGAGCACAGCGTGTATAAACACAGTCGGAGCACAGAGTGTAGAGTGTGGGCGGGTCTGCAGGGTCGTTCTCCTTTTAAGGGCGGGACTGTAAACCTACGCCATGATAAGCGTCTCCTCCTCCTTTAGAACTGCAGCCTGTTTACCGTTCTGTAGTTAAACAGGTGGTACTCTAACTGGGTTCTCCAGTGGAGCAGCAGTTCGGTTCTGTGTGTGGATCTACGAGGAGAGTGACGTTGTTTTGTTTGTTTGTTTGTTTGTTTGTTTGTGTGTGATCCAGGCGAAGAACAGGGAGCTGATGAAGCAGGTCGCCGCTCTCTCTAAGGGCAAAAAACTCGACCGCAGCAGCGGCTCACTGCTGTTACCATAGCGACGACCCCTCCCCTCCACGCAGGTCATCACTGTGAGGAAGCGAAGGCCACGCCCCCTTCGGCTCATTATAGTTTAAACTTTTATTTTTTCCTCCCTCCATCCGCTTCTCTCTCCCTCTCATATTCTACCTCTCTCTCTCTCCATCTCTCTTTCTCATATTCTACCTATCTCTCTCTCTCTCTCTCCCTCCCTTTCTTTCTCATATTCTACCTCTCTCTCTCTCTCTCTCTCTCTCTCTCTCTCTCTCTCTCCCTCTCTCTCATATTCTACCTATATCTCTCTTTTTTAGTCACTCTTTGCTTTTTTCTTTTCTCTCTCTACCTACACCGCTCTCTCTTTCTTCCTTTCATTTTTCCACCTTTTTCTTTCGCTTTTTTTCTCCTCCTTTAGTGCTTTTTTACTCTTGATGATGTCATATAAGACGCTGCTTTACTTTTGTTTTTGGTTTTTTTTTGTTGTTGTTTTTTTTTCTCCCCATGATTATCGTTATTTTGAACTGACCTTTGACCCCTTTTTGACCCCGTGATGGACGCGGTCAGGCCGGATTTTTGGCCCTAAAGCTCATATGCAAATTGTCAGTGGAACGTTCGAGGAACGTTTGGGGAATGTTTTCTGGACGCTGCGGGAGACGCTCCGAAACATCGGAATCATCAGCGGGATTTTATAAACAAAACGATTTTATAGAGTTTCACCGTTCAGCACAAACATCTACATCTACTCTCTGTCTCTCTTTCAGTCTCTCTCTCTCTCTCTCTCTGTGTCTCCCTCTGGTGGATGATTGTGTAACTGCATGTTTCACTGCGTGTCTGTGCAGTGTATATTTTGTATTTTTTATCTGATGATTATAATCATGATTATTATTCTGTTTGGATTTCTGTTAAACTCTGCAGTGTGGGTGTGAGTGTCTGAGTGTGTGTGTGTCTGAGTGTCTGAGTGTGTGTGTGTCTGAGTGTCTGAGTGTGTGTGTGTCTGAGTGTGTGTGTGTCTGAGTGTGTGTGTGTGTCTGAGTGTGTGTGTGTGTGTGTGTGTCTGAGTGTGTGTGTGTCTGAGTGTGTGTGTGTGTGTGTGTCTGAGTGTCTGAGTGTGTGTGTGTCTGAGTGTGTGTGTGTCTGAGTGTGTGTGTGTCTGAGTGTGTGTGTGTCTGAGTGTGTGTGTGTGTCTGAGTGTGTGTGTGTCTGAGTGTGTGTGTGTGTGTGTGTCTGAGTGTCTGAGTGTGTGTGTGTCTGAGTGTGTGTGTGTCTGAGTGTGTGTGTGTGTCTGAGTGTGTGTGTGTGTGTCTGAGTGTGTGTGTGTCTGAGTGTGTGTGTGTCTGAGTGTGTGTGTGTGTCTGAGTGTGTGTGTGTGAGTGTCTGAGTGTGTGAGTGTGTGTGTGTGTATCTGAGAGTGTGAGTGTGTGTCTGAGTGTGTGTGTGTGAGTGTGTGTGTGTGTGTGTGTGTGTGTGTGTGTGTGTATCTGAGAGTGTGAGTGTGTGTCTGAGTGTGTGTGTGTGTGTGTGTGTGTGTGAGTGTGTGTGTGTGTGTGTGTGTGTGTGTGTGTGGATCTGAGAGTGTGAGTGTGTGTCTGAGTGTGTGTGTGTGTGTGTCTGTGTGTGTGTGTGTCTGAGTGTGTGAGTGTGTGTGTGTGTGTGTGTCTGAGTGTGTGAGTGTGTGTGTGTGTGTGTGTGTGTGAGTGTGTGTGTGTGTGTGTCTTCATTAGGGATACACATTTTGGCAGTTCTTTTGACCCGTTACGCTCCGCCCCGTTAGTCGACGATTAATCGTTAACCGACGAGCCTAAAATCGGCGATGCAGCCCTTCAAAATATCAATTATAAAACTGATAGTTCTGGTTCTGAAATCTGGTTCTGATAGTTCCGGTTCTGTGTGAACTGAATCTGCACCGAGACATTAAAAACCGTTCCGATGGGTGGAACCAAGCATGTAGAACCGTATTAAAGGGCCCACGTCACAGAAAATTCAATTTTGCTTGTTTGAAATATTGTTTTGATGCAGTGTGTGAAGTTTGTCCCAGTCGTTACATTCCATACTTTAAACTGTAATAAACTAATTTTCTGCTGATGTCACAAAAACTGTTGCATTTATTTCTGTCTGCCTACTTAGGCAGTTTAGCTCCGCCCACTCATGCTCAAGTTATAAGTAGTGTTTCCACACCGGTTGAGGTGCTGTACAGGGAAGCCACTCAGAACAGAGCTCATTTACATATATTGGTGTTAAAGGCACAGACTGGACTGTATAACGATCCGTGGCTCTTAAAAGCCGTTTTGTAGTTTTGCTATTACTTTTTAAAAATCGCTCTGGAAAAAGCGTAATGCTATTTTTATTATTGTTATTTTTATGTAGAAGCGATGGCCTGTTTTGTCCTTGTGCGGTTCAAAAACGTGAATGATAAACTTGTGCGATAAATAAAATGAACGTTTTTAACTGATAGTATTGATTGAACAAGTTTTTATTTGTCGGTTAACGGTTAATTGGGTAGTGATCTACATCTCTGCTCTCCTCTCTCTCTTTTTCCCTTTTTCTCTCTGTATTATGAGGTTCTTTGTACTGTGATCACTTTTGTACATTTATTTTTTCCCCTCAGAATACAGACGTTTCAGGAATAATAAATCTAGTAAAACCGTGAAAATGAGTGTGTTTGACATTTTTCCAGAAGCTAATGTAGCTTTAGCTAAAGAGTGCTAGCAGTTCTGGGACAAAAGTAGCAGAACTGAAAAACAGAGACGGCAGGACTGAAAAACAGAGACAGCAGGACTGAAAAACAGACGGCAGGACTGAAAAACAGAGACAGCAGGACTGAAAAACAGACGGCAGGACTGAAAAACAGACGGCAGGACGCGTCACTGATATTTAAGACTATTCAAACTCGACTGTCCGACAGTGTGAAGTGAAAAGCTGTACGGGCGATTATCGAGATGTTTAACTGAATGTTTTAGTGAGGTGTTCTCAAATTTTCCGTTCCACCTTAAATGGTTGGCAGAGGCTAAAGTAGCTTTAGCTAGCGGGTGTTTTCGGCTTTGGGCCTAAAGTCTTTATTTTCTGTAGAAAAACAGAAACGGGGGGATGGCGTCACTGATATTTAGGAAAACAGCACTTCCGTCCCAAAGCGGAACAAACACTGACAGGACGATTAAAAGGACGTTTGACGTTTTTAGCCGCGCGGTTTGGATCAAATTAGCTTCCTACTCGAATTTTCCGTTCCGCCTTAAGTGGCGCGGCTGCGGAACAGAAAAGTCGAACAGGAAATGTAACTTTCTATCTTCTCCTCAGAGAAACTTCTGATAACGGATTAAACACACTTTTTGAGAATAAGGAGCCAAATGCGAAGATTAAAATATCGCCGAACTGCAGAAAAGCTCGGCTTTGCTGTTCAAAGATTCACGGAGTCTTTGTTTATCTACGTTTTGAATACAAACAGCAGGGGGCGCGCCAAGGCAGCGTCGAGAACGCCGTTGGTGCGGATGCATGCTGGGAAATGTAGTTGCACATTTAAAAATCGTTTAAATGTGAGAACTAGGCGAACAAAACACAGTTATCAATAAAGTAATTATATCTAATAATTTATATGTCGAAATTACAACAAAAACCTTTATTAACAGGAACAGTTACACACATTCAATATAAAGATGTATTCTATTGTTTATTATAAATGCAGTTCCACCCCCCCTCCCATTGTAACTGCTATAAATACTTCACTAACATATCTAATAGATTTGATAATGAGCAGAAATGATTAGTAATAATTTGGGTAAAAGACATTTTTGGAAACAGACACTTTTATAAATATCTGTGTTAACAGATCCGCTTCTTTCGTTTATGGGACTCTAATATCTGACAGCTCTTCGGCGGCTCGGTGATTCTGAGAGAAGCGACCTGTCGGTGAACTAAATCACTGTAAGTTTATGAGGTGAATGAAAAGTCCGGTTCATGCAGAGAAACGGCAGTGTTTACTGCTCAGCTGCAGTACTGAACGCTGACCTGGGCGCCAAAGAATCACTTACCAAGCACAGAACAGATTAACGTGATTTTCTCATCTTCATCAACGGAGATTCAGTAATGCTGATAATAAAGGCTAAAAATATAATAATAATAATAATAATAATAATAGTAGTAAAGGCTGCAAAACATTTAAAAGCTATTAGCCATGAGAAAGGAATATACAAAGGAATATACATGAAAGAGTTTAGCTAAGAGGCCTAAATTTTCAACTATATAACACTTTAGTCTTAGACTAGTCTTAATTCGTGTCTAAACTGACCCTAACAGCTCACATACTGACACACTAATGACTCTAATAAGAGCAGCAGCTCATCAAATAGATACTTACAGATACACTATGTGGACCAAAGTATTGGGACACACCTCTCAATCACTGAATTCAGGTGTTTGATTCAGTCTCATCACCACAGGTGTATAAAATCCAGCCCCCAGCCCTGCAGCCTGCCTTCACACACATTAGTGAAAGAATGGGTCACTGAATTCCAGCGTGGTGCTGTAATAGATGGCACCACTGCAACAAGTCAGTTTGGGAAATTTCTTCCCGCCTAGATTTTCCACGATCAGCTGTGAGTGTATTATTGAAGAGTGGAAGTGTTTAGGAACCACAGCAACTCAGACACGAGAGTCAGACCACGTAAGCTTACAGAGCGGGTCGCCGAGCTCTGAGGAGCACAGAGCATAAAAGACACCAACGCTCTGCTGATCAATAACTGCAGAGTTCAAACCTCCTCTGGATCAACATCAGCACAGAAACTGAGCCGGGAGCTTCATGGCTGGGTTTCCATGGCTGAGCAGCTGCATGCAGCCTTACATCACCAAGCACAAAGCCAAGCGTAGGACCGAGTGGAGTAAAGCGCCGCCACTGGACTCTGGAGCAGTGAAACGTGTTCTCTGGAGTGACCAATCAGCTTCTCTATCTGTCAGTCTGATGGACGGGTCTGGGTTTGGCGAATGCCAGGAGAACGTTACCTGCCTGACTGCACTGTGCAGCTGTACAGTTTGGTGGAGGAGGGATGATGATATGGGGCTGTTTTTCAGGGGTGAGTCTAGAACCCTCAATTCCAGTGAAGGGAAATCTTAATGCCTCAGCACCAAGACATTCTGGACAATTATACACTTCCAACTTTGTGGAACAGTTTGAGGAAGAACCTTTCCTGCTCCAGCATGACTGAGCCCCAGTGACCAAAGCAGCTCCATAAAGGCCTGACTGGGTCAGTTTGGTGTGGAAGAACTTGACTGGCCCTCACAGAGCCCTGACCTCAACCCCATCAAACACCTTTGGGATGATCTAGAACAGAGATTGTGAGCCAGACCCTCTCGTCCAACATCAGTGTCTGACCTCACAAACGCTCTAATGGATGAATGGACTGAAATTCCCACAGACTCTCCAAAATCCTGTAGAAGCTTCCCAGAAGAGTGGAAGCTGTTACATCTGCAAAGGGGGACCAACTCCATATTAACGCCTAAGGATTTAGAATGGGATCATTAAAGCTCCTGTGGGTGTGATGTGTAGGTGTCCCAATACTTTTGTCTGTAAGTTGCGCCATCTGCTGGCTGCGTTTAAAACGTTGTGACTCTCTATTAATTTCTCTCTGAGGAAATTTCTTACAGTGAATTAGAATCAGTGAATTAAAAATCATTTCAGACTGATTTTTTAGTGAAAGTGCCATTTTGCGATCATATAAGCAGATCAGCTACAGATAAAATATACTCGTAAAAACACTCGTAAAAATACAAGCTTTACACATTTCCTGCATGGTGTTAATGAATGTGGCAGTATTTTAAAAAATATTAAAATAAGCAAACCAAAAGGGTTTTGGAACTTTGTATGGATTGTGCTTTATTTAATGTGTAATTGCACCCCCTGGCGGTTGGTTATATTGTGTTATTGTAAACTTCCTACAATTAAAACCTTCGTAAAAACTGTCATTTTTACATTCAGTGTCAAATATTAGCAAATATCAGGGCGACATGTACAGCCTGCACGTTCATTATTACCTCCCCTCATTATTATGAAGCAAAATGAAAAGGCAATTTTAAAAATCTAAAATAATAAATAATAATTTTACATAATTAAAAATAGTTTGCCTCATGAGCGCCCTCTATGGAAGAATCCTACACATTTATTCTCTACAGTAATTCTTCCACTTTGTGTGTAATAAAACACAGATATTCAGTTTACTGTGTTGAGTCTTTGATCTGAAGGTCGACTCTTAGAAATGAAGCTCAGTATTGATCCACTCGCGCCTCCTCGCGCCAGCTGGACGGAGCTGAGCCGACTGTGTGTGTTGGAGGGACTCTCGACTCTGATGGACCTTGAAACTCACTTAATATTTATTTAATAAGCTTAACTGCTTCATCGTAGCACTTTGAGCTGCTGCCTGTTCGAAATGAGCTCTTTATATAAGTTATTATTGTTGTGATGAACAGCAGCTGCAGCAGGTTAGACTGTTTACTGTTTATTTCTGAGACATAATACTCTTACATGTGGTCATCACTACAGTGTGTCATTATTAAATGCTCTTATTTTAATCTGCTCTTCATCATGAATGAATGAATAAATGAAGGAATGAACCTTTCTATAAAAAAGCAGTGAATGTATCCTGTGCGGCTCTGGAGTGAGAGGGTGTGGTTAGCTGTGCTGATGTGAGTCAATCTGAGCAACAAACTGAACTGAAGACTATCAGAGTGAGTGAGTTAGTGAGTGAGTGAGGGAGTGAAGGAGTGAGGGAGTGAGGGAGTGAAGGAGTGGTCTGATGATCTGATTTGATGATGTCACAACTCTTGCACCGGCCACATTTTCTTTCTTTCTTTCTTTCTTGTTTTCTTTCTTTATTTTTCCCGAATGTTAAATCCAGTAAATTAACACTCATTCAACAAAATGAAAATCAGCAAAACATATAATTTGACCAGGGGGTGCCTAAACTTTTTCATAGGACTTTTTGTTTTGCCAAACCACAAAGAAATGTTTTATTTAGATTTCATTTTTTGTCCTCACAATGTTTCTACATAAATCTTACACCATGATTTAAAATAATCATTTATTTTTTGTTTGTTTTTTATGCTAAAAACAAACAGAGGCATTTTAACAAGATCAGCATCAACAAGAACAGTAAACTCTAACAGCAGTTTACTAACAGCGCTGCACTCTTTAAATAGACTGATAGAGAATATGATGTACTTTGTTCTGAAGAAGCATTTCTACATGCAAATAACCGTTTAGGCCTGTAAATCATCCCGTAGAGAACTCATGGTTTTATATAGAACCATTCACTTTACCAAAGAAGCCTCGAAGAACCATCTTTTCCAGAGTCTAGAGCCCGGGCCTTCCAGACTAGAGTGTGTGAAATCTAAAATGTATGTACTTATTCATACGTATGACTGTATTTATGTAGTTATGGATGTCGTGTGTGGGTGTTTGATCACTCTGCTGGAGTAATTGTTCATATCGAGCGGAGGTGTTTTAAAAACACCAACATCAACAAAAACAGCACGGTATCAGTATGCTAATATACAGACACAGCATATATGGGCTTTCAGGGTCTGAACAGGCTGTGTTCTCTCTATTATCTATTAATTTGTGTTTTGTATATATTTTTAAGTGAAAGATTGAGTAGAGATGTTTTAATAAAACCAACATCAACAGCAGGATGCTAACTAATGCTAACACTGAGCTAACTAATCGAGCCTGATATAATCAAACGGGGCGGGAAGTGTCTCAGACTGAAATACAGCAAAAACGTCTTTTAATTAAATTTAATTATTTTTTCGGCCTAAAATGAACCCGTAGTCTTAAAATATTAGCATGTTAGCTGTGGTTTTTCACAACGCGGTTTCCGGGACTCTTACGTTGTCCTCAGCAGGCTTCCGTACCATCCGGGTTTCTCCGTCTGTGTGAGTGGAAGAAGGTGAGCTAAACTTTTATTCACATTTATAAACAAACATGTCCGCTATAAAACTCCTCCGACGGTGTCCGTTTGCCGTCTGCGTTCCGCTGTACTGTAATAATCCGCCGCTGAACCGGAAAACACTGGAAATACGGGCTAAACCGAGGCTACTGTGTTTGGCTAACGCAGCTAAGCTAAAGTAGCTGCTTCAGTTCGTGTTTACAGTCGGAGTGAATCACAGAGTCACAAACCGCACAATCAATAAGTCTGTTAGAGACGCTGAACAGCTCCGCGCGCTGTAAGACACGAATTCTGACGCCTCAGTACGTTTTAAGGTGGAACGGGGATTTCGAGTTATGCTAGAATGAATGCTATGAGTTACTCATTATGCTGGTAGTGAACTATGCTGCTGACACAGCTGCCTAAAAACCATAGAAACGGACCTTAAACAGAAGTGAGGACCCTGTTGGGGTTCATCCTAAAGTTAGGACAGGATTTAGGAGGTTTAGTCTAGTTAGGATGTTTGTGTGATGCTGTTTTCTTGTCTGGAGTTCATGATGAGATTATGAAGGTAGGAACTGTTACTCAGGAATAGATACTGAACTAAACTCAGTCAGTCATGTAGACCAAACAGATCAGATTTCAGAGTTTAGATGTTCCTGTAATTTGGCTCCT